CAACCCCGTGGAGGAAAGGGCCGAGAGCGCGGCGGAGCACGTGGGCGAGGAGAGGCGCATGTCGGCGACCAAAGTCTTTGCGCCGGACCGCGCGACGGCGCTGCACGACGGGCGGGAGCCGTACGTGAAGCTGGGCCGGCTGGCCGTGGTCAAGGAGTTTAGGGGACACCGGATCGCGAGGCTGCTGGTCACGACGGCGCTGGCGTGGCTGCGTGCGCACCCGAGCTACTTTGATCCAAGTATCAAGGAGATGGGACTCGAGGCGATCGGGGCGACCAGCGCAGAGGAGGTGCCCAAGTGGAGGGGGCTCGTCTGCGTGCACTCGCAGGCGGCCGTGGTCGGCGCGTGGGAGAAGTTTGGGTTCCGGGTCGACGAGGAGATGGGGACTTGGTGGGAGGAGGGGATCGAGCACAAGGGTATGTTTATGCGGTTGGATGTCGAGGAGGAGAAGCCCATCCTTTGAAGAGGAAAGGATGAAACAGTGATGCTTGGCGGGAGGTTGGCCGCTTAAAAGGAGAGAACAGAAGGCTGGGAAGGCATCATCGCCTGGCTTAGCAATGATTGATGATGGGGTCTGGCTGATCGAGATGGGGGATCTCTGATGGTTTACGATACCCCATGATGATGGCTTTCTGCTTTTGGACCAACGTCCCTTAATATTACTTGGTAGTTTCGTCAAGACGGCATGGACATGTCGAGTTCGCACATGCATTCACAAGGTACTTATGGCGGAGGACGAAGCAGTGACATGCTATGACGTTACGACGTCACCCAGGGCGGGCATCTCATACAGTCGACAGCGACGATACTGGGGAGGAAGTAAAGGGAAATATCATTCTCATCTCACATTAGACACCGTGGGGAAACGCCGGGGTTTTGTTCATTTGCTCTTACGAGCTTCGGCTTTTATTGGAATAAACCACCTTTTAAGCCGTGAAGAGACAAGATGCCGTAGCAGCTGCGTTCCCCCATTTCCCCGAAAACGCGCGCAAATGCAAAACAAAAAGGGTCACCCAGCGCAAGACACCGCTTTTCTTTTCGTTCATGAATTGAAGAAAAAAGACGTTGAATTGCCCTGTTATGTAATACCACGCCTCCGATTTGATTTGTCCCCCAGAAAGCAGTTTTTTGACGTCTCGATAGAGAAATGGGGAAAAGGGGGAGGTTGTAGATGGAACCCCCATTTTTTCAACAGGTCTCCTCCACGTTTTTGTTGCCCGCCCTTTCTTAGCTCCCTCCTCCCCTTTCTCTCATTTCTCCAAACCAAGCGTGTTCACGGGGAACGAGCATGAGAAGATTATTGCCTTATCCCACTATTTCCCGGGGAAAGAAAGACAAGAACCACCCACAGTCCCCAGACACACGCCTCTCCAAATCCCGGCAGCAGAGTTTCATAGCCCTTTCCACGAGGGGTAAAACACCATAGACAAAAGGGAGTAACGAAAACCCTTTACCGGTTGGACTTGGCGACACGCTCGAGCTCGTCCTTCTTCTTGATGGCGTAGGAGTTGCTGGAGCCCTTGGCGGCGTTGATGAGCTCCTCGGCAAGGCACTCGGCGATGGACTTGACGTTGCGGAAGGAGGCCTCACGGGCACCGGTGGTGAGGAGGGCGATGGCCTGGTTAACGCGGCGGAGGGGGGAGACATCGACGGCCTGGCGACGGACGGTACCGGCGGAACCGATACGGGTAGAGTCTTCGCGGGGACCGCAGTTGACGATGGCGTCGACGGCGATCTGGATGGGGTTCTGGTCAGTCATCAGGTGGATCTGTAGTCGCATGTGTTAGTCTTGTGTGTTACACCTCCTCATCATGTCTGCAGGTCGGATTGGCCAAAGAGGTTTTTTGGCTTGTGGGTGCGGTCTCGGTAGGGTGGGTGACATACGATCTCGAAGGCGTGGGCAACGATGCGGACAGCCATGAGCTTCTTTCCGTTGTTGCGGCCGTGCATCATGAGGGAGTTGGTGAGACGCTCAATGATGGGGCAGTTGGCCTTGCGGAAGCGCTTGACAGCATAGCGGCCAGCGGAGTGGGTGACATAGACGGGGTTGCGGAGGGAGATGTAGTCACTATTCGATTCGGTTCGCGATTAGCTTCCTGAATTCTCCAAGTCCCAAGTTTCCAATTGCAAGTCCTCCGTTGAATGGTATTTCTCTTATCGTCGTTGTAGATCGCGTTCCTGCGCAAAGAAAGAGAAAAAAAAAAGTGCTGGGAGGTGGACTCACGTCAGAGAGATGTCCCGGACCTCAACATCGTAATCCCACTTGTTGAAGAGCTTGACGTTGCCGACCTCCTTGACAACGTCCTTGGGGAGGACATCGTAGTTGCCCACGCTCTCGACCTCGATATCGCCGCCGTCAGACATTTTCGCTCGACCTTTGGGGGGTTAGTAGACCTTGTTGGGAAGGAAGATCGAGAAAGGCTTGGGGTGGGAAAATGTGGTGGTCGTGGGTTGAAGTTGTCCAAGTGCGAAAGTACGCCGCAGAGTGGGTTTCGATTTTTGCCAGCTCGCTCCTCGAAAACCGTGACTTTGGTGCACAAGGAACGGAACCACCAAGGGCTTTTGGTCCGGGCTCTGGTCCTCTTCGCTGGGCCACTGGGCGAAATATTTTTTCAACCCGCGATGGTGGTGGTGTGCACCCAATCAAAGCCTTCAAAGCAGGCAAAGTGGACCCGCCCGCGTGCAATTTGTTAGGGTTGGCCAACCCTCCAACCGAAAGGCCTGGAGGGGTGGTTCTGGAGTGGCACCTCTTCCCGCAACCTCATACAATTGAAATTCCTACTCCCGACGACCTAGGTGCCTTTGGTATTCCGACCGACGACATCACAAATCAGACAAAATGGTACGCACGCGAAACGACGCCCCTCCCCCCGTGTGCGCGACGCACAAATTCGCGACTTGGCCAGATCACGATGCTGACTTGAATTGGATGTAAAGGCGCCAGCTGCAGGAGCTAAGAAGCAAAAGAAGAAGGTTCGTCGCAAACCCCGTGTTCCCATAAATGTGTCTTGAAGTGATAGAATGCTGACCTCGTCCCGATAGTGGTACGTATGATCCTATGCACACACGCACAAAGAACTTGTCGAAATATCCCCCAACGATACGCTACCCTCGGACGCCACTGCCTCTCTATCACCCATCGACCAACCGACTTACCCATCGTTATAGGTCCAAGGGAAAGGTCAAGGACAAGGCCCAGCACGCCGTCATCCTCGACAAGGCCACCTCCGACAAGCTCTACAAGGATGTTCAGTCCTACCGCCTGGTGACCGTCGCCGTCCTCGTCGATCGTCTCAAGATCAACGGCTCCCTGGCCCGCAGATGTCTTGCCGACCTCGAGGAGAAGGGCATCATTAAGCCCGTTGTCCAGCACAGCAAGATGAAGATCTACAGTATGTCGAACCCATAGTGCTACGAGAGAAATCTACGGAGGAGCAGCAAAGCTAACAATCACCACCAGCCCGTGCCGTCGGTGGTACTGACTAAACCCGCTCAGCCATTGAACGTGGAACGCGTGACGACAAAAACAAAAAGCAACGGGAATCAGGGACGGATTTGGTCATATCTGCCTAGTCAGGAGGCTTTTCGGATGCTCAATGAAGCATTATACCTTGGGCCTTAGGGATCGGATTTGCTTAGCACCGCAAATGGAACGGAGTTGATCGTACATCTGCTGCGTCGTCAAATAGACCATGATCACGTCCTGACGTCCCAATGATACCGGCCCAAAGGTTATCGTCCCAGTGCATGTGGCCCATAGGCATTGTGCTTCCCTCAGACGTCATAGCCCAGTCACGTCTTGCTCCAGTTAATGGTCCTTGCCATGCTGGTTTGCCTACTAGGTATTGAAGCCCATGTGCGAAGGCAAGCGGAGTTCTCCGGGGGTATGAACTGTGAGATGAAAGTGGCTCTCAACCCGACTGCTGTAGTCATCGCTGTGCGAATAATTTCATTCGCCAGGAAAGCGGTCGTTGCTTCGATATTCACGGTCTCCAAAGACCCAATAATGTTGCAACAACAACTCTCGCCCGCCAAGAGGCCCACAGATAGTGTTCCTGTCCGAAGAAGACAGCCGCATCTGATGCTGTAGGGCTGTGACGCACAGCTTAGTATCGTTCGCTCCGTGTTTCCACTTTCATGATGCGCCGGAAGCTCGAGAGCCAAGCGAAAGACCGGCTTGCCTTGGGTCTTGGCCCGCAGTCAATCCAGCCCTAGAGGTCACTCTTCAAGGCCCGATGTCATGCAGATTGAGGGCAACGGTTGCTGGGCTGAGATGAAGTGTTCTCGTCGCACGAAGGCCTGAGCATCAAGCCCTAGTAATACAGAAGGATCTTTCGATGGCTTTTGTCCTACGGTCTTGACGATGGCAACACTAGTTGAGCCTCGTCGACCGCCACCAGAGAGGCTGACGCTAGAATAAAATCATTATTCGTTGATGGAATGCAATATCGCGGTCTGTACTCGGTACGCATACTCGTCGGTCGACTCATTTGCCGTCTATCGTATTTCGGTAGTAATGACAACGTAATAATAATTTTGTGCATACGGAGTGGATGCTTCCTTTAATCTGTCACTCGCTTGACGAATTACTCGCGCTCTTGGTTTCTGGAGACATCGGCGTCAGCGCTGTGATGGATACTGGCATGAGCGTCAATGTCGCTGTCACTCTGGCTGCCACTTTGACAGGAATACGCCATTCCCTGGTCTTGCGCCTAAGAACCCGCGTGCTACGTACATGAATTTGAAGACGCAAAGGCCGGTTGCGGGGATACAGTTTAAGAGCTTCTTGAGTCCTTTGCCGGGGCCCAAGCCCGGAGCCCGAGATGTCGGACACGTCAAGGGGCTGGCAGTGGGAATGGACTCGGAAGTGGTTCGGGCTGATGAGATTAAACCAGTCGTTGGCGGCTGGGCGCTACGGCGGGACTTCCCAGGCGCTTTGGTCAAGTTTGGGGGTGTTTGACCAGGAAGTCAAATTGACTAGGGCGGTCCGAAATTTGATGTCATGTCGAAATTGGCAGCGTCACGAAATGCCCCTTTTCCCCTTCTCTTTCTGCGACAAGGGGAATTGGTATTGGATTTTGGAGGGGTTGATGGAGATGAGAAGTGATTAGTCCGTAAGGTGGTAGCGCGGTTCGCGTGCGAGCTTGCGTGCATCGAGTTTTCGAGGGGTAGTGAGCATGACTTGGTCGAACGTTGATTGGGAAGCCGAAGAATGCTAGAAATGCCTTGTTCAATGTTAGTTCCAGGGTCTCATTTGAACAAAGGAGCGGCACATGATGCGGCTGTAAGCCAGACGTGAACGTCATGTGGTGGCTGACGAATGACAAGCCATAGAAACACGCAGACCATATGGCAGCGGGATCCAGAGACTCAATACACAGCTGACTGGTTGACGAACCCCCCCAAAAAGACGGATATGACGAGAAGTGAAGAGGGATGGACCGGATCATTTGGTTCGTTTCAACTTTGAAGTTGGAGCGTAGACCCAAGAAGCTTGTAACTTTGCCGGCATGAAGGGGGAGAAGTGGTAGGATGGGGATTAAAGGCATGTTTTAAGGTATGGTATGTATGTTGGTGGGATGAAATGAAAGGCAGGCACGGCAGGCCAATGTACCTACTCCGTAATGCTAGGTAAATTAGCTGTCAAGACTCGGACGAGTTCGTGGAGGAGGGAAGGATCGTAAGGAACCTTGGTTCGTGATGTCCATTCCGGCCATTAGGTGGTAGGTGCACTACCTTAAGGTAATGCCGCATAGGCATTCACTGTACTCCGTATACGGAGTACCTAAGGTAAGTAGGTACTGGTAAGGTGCGAAGCAGTTACCGACAGTCGGTTGGTATCGTGAGCACCTTCCTTTGCTTCCACAGGTTCCTTAGCTTGAGGTTAGGTATCCGTGAGGTAGGGAGACGGGAAGCTATCTTGGAGAAAGTAACGGAGGAAGTGAACGAGGGGCCTAGAGCAAATGACCTTGCCCTGTTGGTCGTAGTGACAAGTGGTGAAGGTGGGATTTCCAGGGTCGTGGAGAGCTGCACATGGAAGGCGCTCAAGGCTTAAGCCTCCAAGGAAGGAAGGAAGGAAGTTGGCTCCGACCTGGAAGCCGATGTCGTCAGGTACGGATAGCGTGCCTTTGTCGTCTACCTTAATTAGTGGCCGGGGTGGGCGGATGGATGGATGGATGGATGGATGCAGGCCAGCTGCAGGTGCATAGGTCCTCGGAAGACAAGGGATGGATAGATACTCTGCAGTATGCATGGTGGTGTCGGATACCCTCACCATCAAGATAGAATATGCCCATCTTTTCTTTGCTCTCATGTGGCAAGTGCTCCATGTACTAGCGTTCTTTTACTTTGAGAGCCCTCCAATCCAGGCAGGACATGGAGTATGGACAGTACTCGCCAAACCAAGCCTCGAGGTGTATTTCGAGGTCAGTGTTCGCAAGAGTTCAGCCATTGACGAGGCTGCTACATGGTCTCAAACATGCCCCCTCCACTTCATGCTTTGCAACCATCTGGCTTTTTCGGGGGTCGCCTGTCAAGCCTGTTCCCAACTTTGCCGCTGGCCAGGCGTGGGCAAGCAAGCATCAAGAGAGGAGCTGAGGTGTCAGGAGCCTGGTTTATGCACTTCCATGCAACTTGCAGTGCGTGTATCCGTACGGAGTACTGCGTACCTCACTACGTAGAGGGTGAGAGCGTAAGGTAGGTGCTCTTTTAGATTTGGATCGCCTGTCCCGGTCGGGTCGCATGAACACTCCTTCTGCGCCCAATTGACTGGGTCTCGAGACCATTCCCTTTGCAGCTGATTACAGATGGCAACCTGGTAATTGCACGCTCCACCATAGGACATAGGACCCAAAAAGACAGCAGCAGCAGATGCAGGACTCGAGGTACCTGATTTCCTGATGCGAGACTGCGGAGCCCCCGACGTACCTATTGTCTATCCAACCTCCGGATTGACTCCGTCCACTTACCTTGGGGCAATCGCAACCCGCTTGCCTCCTTCCTTTAGATGCAATTCAACCACACTGATTCCTCATTCTCAAGGTGAGGTATTTGTACAGAGAGATACCTTTCTCAAGTGTCATCATCTCAAAGAGTCCCGTTAGATTTCAAGATGTGTGGGGTAAAAGGAAGGTAGGTACCTACAATTATACCAGAGGTACCTAAACATGATATGGCGAGCCTTCCATTCATTGCCCTCCCTCATTGCGCCTTCTCATGAACCTGCAGCAGATATAATTGGTAATTATCCGGTACACCGTCTCCAGGCCCCTCCCTCCTTACTGTGTCCGCATGTGTGTGCCGCCCGTACCTGGCCCCTTCCCCTTCCCGGCCTGTGATCTCCATGTGTGCCAACGAAAAATGATGCGCACCACCAGATGATGGCCCTGATGTCAGGCACCACACCTGCCCTGTCTTACATCTTCGTTCTGACTTCTCTCCTGCTCAGTCCTCCCCTCCTTGGTTCCAACTTGCACTGTCTTGATCTGACCCCATCTGAATGGACCGTGACCAAACCAGGTTTGCCCACATCCGCCTGTCTCGCCTCTCCTCTTGTTGCTTCCCTCAACCTTACAAAGTCCAAGTCCATCCCGCATCCAAAAGCCTCCGCCGTTCCTGTCCCGACTTGACTTCCTTGTTCCTCCTCCCCTTCCAAGTTCCCGCCTCCACCTCTCCCACCATCTCCGATCCCCCTTTCCCTGCCGCTTGCAGACAAGACAACCACAGACGAAACAAATACTCGCCCACCTCCCTTCAGCTCTGCTCTCAGGTCTTTCTCTCCGGCGCATCAAAGATACCCCTCTCTGCCTGTGCCTTACTCCATCCATCTTTCGCGACAGAACCACCAACGCACTTGTTCGACATCTCCATCTTGCTTCTAGAGCATTGCATAGCCAACTCGCCTTACCGCCTCTTATCCACCATACATTACTACCCGCCTACTTGGATTACCACATCGGTGTGACAAGCACCCTGTCGACACCGTCAACCACTAACCGCTGATCATCCTCCCTTTTTGGTCGACCACGAACCCAACCGTCTCCAGTCCCTGATTGCGAGTCCTCTTTTCTCCCACTCGCAACCTCACAATCTCATCTCCTCTGCCTATCCGAAGCTTCTTCCTACATACGAAATGGCGCACAACATGACCGACGCTGAGCTCGACCTCGACTGGCAGCCCAATGGCCGCCGCCCTCAATCGTGCGTTCCAATGGCCCGCCTCAGTTCACCAAAAACCTTGCGAGATGCGTTGCTGACCCGCAGTCGCGCAGTACCATTGCTCGTTCCTTCTCCCAGGAGCTTGCCGACATCTTCCGCCTCGACGAACCCGTCACAGACGAGAAGCTTGACCAACGGTATGTAGAGCCGCATCACCCTGAATCATGTTTCACCTTACGACATACAGCTTTACACCAAAAGGCGTAAAGTCAGAAAACTAAGAGAATCGTTACAGAAAGCAGAATGTCCAGAGCCAGACAAGCGAGCTTGAAGCTCTCGAGCGTCGCATCCGCGAGATGGAGGAGCGGTTGAAGAACAACAACGTCAACAAGCAAGCCGCAACACAGCCTGCTGCTGCCGCGGGAGATGCTGCACCAGCATTGTCCAAGGAAGCCCAAGAGAAGGCCAGGTCACGACCAGGTACGGCGCGCCAGAACCAGCCTCATGCCCCGTCTTCGGCGAACATGCCGCCCACGCCTACTGCCAGCGAAGGTGAATACGAATTTGTCGGCAAGGATGACCTTGACGACCACCCACCCCGACACTAGATCGCTGCATGTTTCCCACACAACCCATATAAATACCCATGATACCACGTCCCGCCCAATTCTGCTCTTTCTTCCAGCACCACCGCCTCTACCGAGATATTCAACCAGCCAAACATGTAATTGAGATCATGGAAATGCTGACTGTTGCTTCTTTCTGCTCACTCAGACGGCGACCGTGACCAGGCATGAGGGTAGACTTGCCCTTTCAGATTGCACAACCAGACTACTTGCACCGGCTCGAGCTCATTCTCGCATATACCCGCACTCCTCGATTTAACGCCTTCACCAAGCTATAGTAGCAATGTTGCACTCTCGGCTTGAGCATGACTGAAAGGGGGTTTACCTTTGGCATGTACCCATGCCGGCTACCACAACCCGTGACGGGGCGCCGCTCGCTACATTTCCCAGAGCGCTTCCTAGACTTGGAAGCATGGATTCTTCAGCACCCCAATATGTTTTTGCAGTTGGCTTTTCTTCTCTTGCGAGCCTGAGTGGTTACGCATTTTTCACCAAGTTTATGGAGTTTGAGCATGCCTGAGCGGACAATCCAAGATGGATTGGCTGCCTCTGGTCATTGATGGCACGTCCCTGAGGGAAGAGGGATATCTGTATATACCAGACGAAGAAGTGGAAATTCACCTCTACATTGCCTCAATCGTTTTGGGATGCACAGTGAGCATTTTCCACGGCTGCCTAGTCACAGTATCCTCGGGGTTTCAAACTACACGATAAGCCTGACTTTGTGCAAATTCCGGATTCTTTTAAGAGTTGTGCATCTGCGCGCACCCGGCATCTCATTTTTGTGGTTCTCTTCTGGCCAGAACTGTGCACGCAAATGGATAAACTGATTATTCTAACTAGCCGACACCTTTAGGATCTCTACGAACGCCACTGGGATGACATATTGGACTCTCTTCCGACCCTGGCTAACGAAGTAGCCTTCGCCTCGAACTCCTATGATTGACAGGCTGTCGTGGTCGCGCAAACATCATACGAACTCTTTTGTCCAAAGCTGACAAAGGTTCCTGAAGCTCCATAATTCAGTTGGACGAACATGCTCTTGAGCGCTACGCCTCCAAAGATGGAACGATCAGTTTCACTCTTCTGGATCCCACCAAAGCACATGTCGGAGCTCCCAGGCGCAGGGCCAAGATTGATAGACTCCTTGAGAATCGTGCCCACGTAGTCACCTGCCGTAAGGAAGAGCATGTCAGGAATGCTTGCGGCCGAGGCGCAGGGGAACACCCAGGCTTTCAGCTTTGGGTCGTGGGCCGAGTCGGGGATGCCGGCGTAGTAACTGGCAACCATGTCGCCAGGAAGAAGCACAAAACTACTTCCAGTATCGATGGTAGCAATGGTACGCTTCTTGAACACGTTCCACTGCTTGCTGTCCATGGTGCTCGTCCGCGTTCCCTTGAGTTCGAAGCTCCAGTGCTCGTCGTCGTCCACGGGCGGCTCGTTGGTCTCCACTGTGCCCAAGGCATATCCAAAGGAGAAGAAGCCCTTGTTCGAATTGGCTCGGATGTCGATACCGATCCATTCGTAGTGCAGGGCCGGCTTGAGACGATCGAGCATGGACGGCATGCTGGGCTTGACGGACGAGGGCTTACTCTTGGCGAGACCCATGACACCGCTGATCTTGGGTTCGATGGCCCACCGCGGGGCGACGTTGACGGCGGATTGGATTGTTGTGTTGGCGATGGTGAAGTGGTTGTTGTCCGTCACCAGGCCGAAGCCGACGGTGTCGAAGTACACCTTGCCCGAGCTGGTGGACTTGTCGACTG